CTAAGTCCGTCATTTTCTAGTGAAGTGCTCAAATGACCTCAAATGTATAGAACTTTGACTGTCGTACCTGAGCAATTTTAAAGTATTCTGAAACAGCTTTTTGCGTTAAGCCTGACAGGAAGTTGTCGTGAGAATGTCCTTGATGGCCCACACGTGAATGGTCTGTGTAGTCGATGTTCTGAAGAAAACTGTCAGTATCGATTTCTGCTAGCAGAAAAATACTGAAAAACATAAAAATGGAGTCAGAGACCGATAAATTCTAAATTTTTCTTTCGATCACTACTTCGCAGCTGTCCAGTTTTTTCTGTTTCTAAAGCTTTCGCCATAGAAATAAAATTTATTGCGTCATGAAGAGAAAATACTGACCTCATCATATGGGTTATAGCCAGAGTAGGAAAGCGTGTAGCCAATGCATGAAAGAATTACTAAGGCTTTCATGTTTTCGCTATAACGCATAAAATCCATGATTTCGTTATGATCTTGCGCGAAAACGTTGTTTTGTTTTATTTGTTTAGTATATCGGTTAGGGTTGTCTATAGTGATAAAAAAGGAAATAGTGTATAAGATGATGAGGATGCGAAATATTACTTACGGTTTTTAATGGCAGAGTTTGCTGATGATCTACTAAGAGAGAAAGCTGACCTGATTGGCTGTGCACAGTATTACAAAGACTGCAGTGATGTTTGCTCATATTAGGACTAATCAGCTGGATCTACAAACTCACCAGTCTTTGGAAGTGATTCAGAATACGGCGTTATCTGGTCATGCTAGAATATCAGCAGCTATGGTCATAAAGCAATTGGTAGCTACTAAGTCATTAAACTATGTTTTCATCATAATATACAAAGGAAAAAGTGTTTGACGATAATCAATCCGCTTGCAGCGTGTCAGCTTCATTAGGTATCCTTGAAGTTGTCGAATGCATGTTTGGCTCTATGAGCGCATATAAGTGTTTCTATCCTCCTAGAATAGTTCGTTACTAATTTATCCACTCTTATTAGACAGGAGCTTTGTTTGCGGAAAGCGCGGGATCGAACCATCATCCCTGGATATGTGACAGGGCAGGTCTCAGCTAAACACTTCGCTACACACGTCTCTTTATTTTCGTCATGCGAATAGAAATATCGCAAAAAATCTAATGTATTTTGGTAAAACTCCACTGGAAAAATACGACATACTCTTCCTCATTGCAGCAAAATTGATCACTAAATCTACTACGGCTTACTGCGCTTCGATGATGTTTTTAACATTTTTAATTACTCAACATTGCTTAAAAAATTGACGAAGTAAGATTGTTCACCAGACCCTAACTGGAATATTGTAGCGATTCTACAATATACAGCAGCCAAGGGAGTACATGAAATTTTCGAGATATGGAGAGCTCGCACAAAGCTTATTAGACACAGCAACAAGCGTCTTGCATAGTTAAATGTGAGAATCACCTCTATAACAATCACGGAAACCTCGAGATATGAGCAAAACTCAGAACCTCAGGTGCCCTTCGAATCTGCAGTTACTCTTTCCGAAGGTTATCCAATGCCCTTGCCTTACCTCTCTTTCAGCTACTATAAAAAAAAGGTTAAAAAGCTTTTTCATTTAGTTTTTTTTATCTCTGCCTTCAGCAATCACCTCTAAAAAGGCGACAAATTTGTAACGAAAGTGTGATCACTGTCTGGTTGTTTCTTGACCGAGGGGAACGCGGTGAGTGCCGAGTTTCTGGTCGATTTATGGGACTGCTGGTGGGTGGTGCAGGTTATAGAATAACTCATGTAGAAGTAGATAGCTGCAATAAAAGGAGTTGACGGAAAAGTCTGAAAACTTTGCATTGTGATTATTTGATGAGAATTCAAGGCTTTCGAGCCAATCCTGCTTTACGCACAGCCTATTCAATGCGGGGATAGGATTACTGTACGGTGTTTTCCCAGCTATGAAATACTGCGATGATCATTCAAATCCATCACGTTATCTATTCTATATTTTCTCATGTTTTTTTTGATAATATTACACGAAGTTGATAAATGTATTTAGTTTCGGCTAACGTTTTGACGTCTTCGTCTTCATTAGAGCCGACAATCTGAGTCGAGAGTTCACGGTTCCACTTCGTTTCGATGTGGCTTCTTTGCCTTCGTATCGGGTTGTGTCTTTATCAGTGGACCATCACTCGAATGAGACATACTCATTCGGTGTTACCCTTTTATGCAGGATGCTGATGATTGATAGCAGTGATGGATTTTAGTTCTTAATCAGGAGAACTAGAATTTTCGAAATTTCTATATTTTTCGCTTGAACTTGATTACTGTCTCTTCCAAAGTCTTCGGATTCTAAATCTCTTTCTTTGCAATCCACCTTCGTTGCTTGTTAAAGATTTTTTTTGTTTAAATAGGAGCGTCCAAGAGCTCTTCGTTTTGATTTTCACCATTTCGTTTTATATCATCAAATTTCGACATATTTGTTCAAGGCTTGAACTGCGAGATCAATCTAAAATGAGAAAAAGGTCAGTACAACAATAAGAATAAGTCAAATGACAAAGTTAAATGAATCGTACTCGCGTTACAACTTTAAAAAATCGATATTGTAAGAAAACCCTGCAATGAATTGAGATGATTGCCTTTGTCTTGATTCCTTGTGCTTGGCGCTAAATATTTTAGGAAGATGCGGTAAATCCACTTCATTGGAAAGCTCAGAACTTTGATAAAGCAAAAAGACTCTCGTTGTTGATCAACCGCTGAGAGATGCCCCAAGCATTCGACTTCATGGAACCTCTATTCAATGCATATCTGGCCTAAATAATGACTTGCAGTGGTACACCGGTGATTTGAGTCAGCGCTGCCATCCTCCTATACAACAATGGCACCAATTTGTAAAACCCAGAGGCATGGAAGTTTTAATGAATCCATGACGCGGTACCAAACCACGACAACTTGTGTATATCAGGGCACTTCTAACCAATCCCCTACACACACAGCAGAACAGTGAATCAAAGAGAATTTCCGCATATTTCCCATAAGCTTGAAAATGAAAAGTTGGTCAACATCCGAATACTCAAATTAAAACACAAATGCCAGTCACTCATATCTCGCACGTTACTTGTGGCACCTTGCCCATGCAGCTGGACATTCTGTTCCAACGAAGAATCATGCATGTCTCAGCAAGTATTCCACTTGAGTAAATTTATAAGTTAGCAAAATTTTTCGTGATTACAGTCTTAGTCGGCCACATTATAGTTTCGCTTAGTTGTCATCACTTCAGTTGTCGACCAAGATAGATCGGAAGAAAGTTTACCGCCTAAGAATTAGTCTTATATATAAACGGTAGCTATTCCGTCTTATGTCATACTTATATAGAAATGTTGGGCTCTTCCACAGTTTGGGAGACGTTATGGAGAATGAGACCTTGTATCACATATCAGCAAAAAGGAGTATTGCCAACAACGAGCAGGTGTAAAGCAGTTGCTTTAATGAAGCGAAATGTACTATAAAAATTTTCTGGTGCCTCATTTGACAACAAAATGTCTTCTACCATCTTTATATACCGGCTCCATATTAAATACGTCATTTTTGCGCGCGTTTTTTCTTAATTCAAATTTATTCAGTAGTTCAGTTCGATTTCCCTGTGAGAACATGAGCTAGATACCGTGAACTAAGCAGCGTTCATAGGTGCTCTTAGGCTGCCGTTCAAAGAGTACGTGCTGTAGTCTCTATTTGTTCAGTGAACTTCTTAAATGATTACATAAGTTTCCGTGTCCATGCTAAGCACAATCGTTCCTTGCCGCGTTTTAGCGCTTTCTGGCACTTATGGCATTTTCGCATTTTTGTTCACACAACTGTCATTAGCAGGCTAATTCTTCTTCATTCATTTTTGTTCAATGTGGAGACAGAGTATAGGTAGCATGTTATATCGTCTGAAATCTCTATGTTGCCGATATTAAATGGGATGTAATTTCTCAAATCAGAGCTGGATATGAAAAGCGATAACCATAAAAGTATTCTATGTTTGATTGTTTGTTATTCGTTTTCCCATTGACGCTGTGAAGAGCACGAATTTCGCCCAAATCCTAACCGAGGCTAATTTGAAGCTATGAAAGAGTCGTAAAAACTATTCGATTTTAAACTGTTGTTGACTCATTTACAAAGATATCCACAGTAAGTAGGTATGAAAATTTCTGTTGATGCTGAGGATTAATGTAGGACTTCGATATCATTGATTTCTAAAAAGCGATTGACCGGGATGATCTATGCTGTGCTTTTGCACTCAGTGGTACTCAATACAGTTTATATCAAATCAAAAAAATTAAATTTGTCTTTTCTTCGAACGGTTTACCGCCTCATCGTGGTTGGAAGGTGTTCCTGGGTGTCGGGCTGCGATGTACAGCGGGATGATACATCACCCTGTAGGGTCTCCCAAACTGAGAAGGAGTCCGCGGTTTTATCAGGAAGCCTAGCTAAGAGTAAACCAATATCAGGATCCACTACTGTCCTGGTATCAAAGTCGCATGGTGGCAAATCTTCCTCTGATCCACAAGGGCTGCAACTGCTTGTGGTGGTGAAGGCTTGGGACAGGCTTTGGTCAGGCTGTTCTCGGGATTCCAGAGAACCACAATAGCTTCACCAGCAAATCTCCGAAAAGTGGAGATTATGCTGGAGCCTGCACAACCAGTGAGGACGAGCCATTAAAGTATCAAGTATCAAGTAAGTATTTATTTTTACAAGCATTTACTAACAAAGCGTAAACAAATGAATAAGAAATAAAACGAACAATAAGTATGGAACAGTTAACACATTTTACCTAAAACGACATGCATTTCAATAGCGTCTGAATGAGATTCGAATATTCGAGTAGGTTACACTTATAAACGGTTGCAGAGTAATGAAATTTTTATAAGTAGGTACAAATCGTCGAAAGATTCATCGTCATAGCCAACCTTATGTGTTCGTTGCTCAGCTGTCGAAGACTATTACATAATTCTTTTCAATGAGGAGAAGTTTTGTTCACTATCACTGTCATACGCACAACGTTTTTCTGTGTTCTACGATCTTCGGTTTCAATGTCAGGAAATCGGAACTGGTGGTTAGAAAACGCTCATAGGTTGATTCAGGTGTTTGGTATGGATACATGGTATAAACGATTATGGACACCATGACAAGTGCCGTTCCAAGCGAGAACAGGAGGCCGGGTACAAAATCGAACAGCAACCATGAGCCGATCGCTGCACCAACGATTGCTATGCTCTGAAAGGAATTCTTTCGCTTTATTTCTGTTGCGAAAAGCCGTAGATAACTTTCGGTAAAGTGCACAAGTTTAAACTAAGCAGTAAGTGCGGTGGTGAACGCGTTACTCCCCGAAAAGGACAATAGCGCGTTCGTTCCCCACCATAGACACCTGCGGTCCAGAGTTTTGCAAATATCTCAGCAGCGTTGTGGTTGTATTTCGCTTAGTACCATGCCGCAAAATTATAGTAGGCAGAAAATAAAAAGGTATAACAGTGTAAGGAGTAAGTGTTTAAACAATCTGTTAATTTGGTTTTGTCCATGTTCAGCTGTTACTTGGACAGCCACAATGATGCTGAGATATTTGCAGAACTCCAGAACGCAGATGTGTGCCGTGGGGAACGAACGCGCTTTTACCCTTTCCGGGGACGGTGATTCTGTTATATGAGGACAAATAGTTCCGCGACCATCACTGCCTTGTGAAATCCCTGTCAGGTCATCCAACAATCGCGCACCCAAATCAACCATTGGCTTAATGTCATCCAAATCACCCAGATCACACACTGAAATAGAACATAAAACTAGGAATAGGACCATAATAATGCTGAGATATTTGCAGTCATCTAAAAAGCTTTTCTTCCACAGAATCTGAACATGTTCAAAAATAGAATTGTTGGATCTAATAGACTAAATATGATATATTTGCAGGTTGGGAAGGAAGTACGAGAGTACGGGAGCTAACACGTTCGCTAAAACCCCATGCAGGTCCATCGTTTCGCCTGTCTTTCACCCAGTTTTCTATCTACAGTGCCATCATCACGAAAAGGTAATAGCGCGTTCGTTCCAACCGCAGACACCTACGGTTCAGAGTTTTGCAAATATCTAAGCATCATTGAGGTTGTATTTTATATAATGCTCTGTTGTGAAAAATTATAGTGGGCAGCAAATGCAAAGTTAACTTTGTTATTCGGACCGTTAGAATATTTTACTAAGCGACTTTCACCTCAGCGTGAGTAGTCAGCATATTCGTTTCGCTGTTTAGCTTACACATAGGTGTTATATACTTCAGTTAACGACTCGACGTCTAGGACTATTAGCTGTTAATCGAGTTAGGCGCGTCCGTAAAATCTCAAAAATGAGTGTAACGAAGAGCGAAAAAGTCCCACTATGGAGAATATCCAATGCGATCTCATTAAGAAGCACTAACAAAATTGTTGCACCGAAGCCTGCAAGTTTCTTTGAAGAATAGCCGAATGTGGACTATTATTTTACTCGTTTGACGCGTTTTTTCCAAACGTTCCATATTTCCATGTTCTATTATGGACTGAGAGGATGTACAGCGCAGTGGCCATGGGTGCCCTGCGGCACACACGTGGTCCTTGGTTCGACCTAGTGCCCTGGCCCACCAAGTCTTCCATCACTCCGGGGTCAGCGAATTGGTACCAGACTTGTCTGGCAGGATACCACCACTGATTTGATACATCGATAGGCCACCGCAAGTCATCGTCGAAGCCAGGTATCCATTCAGTGCGTCTAGCGATGCTTAGTGAAGTCGAATGCATGACGCATTGCTTAAGGATGTATTCACACCGAACATTATTTTTTACCCTTTTCTTGTGGGTTGTCTTAATTTGTTTGATATTAGACAGCAACGAATAAGTGAAAACTTAAAAAATATAAAAGGAATTTATAATCCTCACCTGAGCATAGGCTTTTAATATATTGTCTGCGTACTTCATAACGATCGAAATAAGCAATCCACCCATGGAGTTCGTTAACGTCAAAAAAACGACAAACATATCCCAACCGCGAAAAAATCCTTCTGTAAAACAGCGGTAATTAAAGGAATATCCCACAGCCAATAGGCTTTGGCATCGTTATCTACTGTTGTCGCTCTTTTCTTCCATTAAAAAACTGTCTATTTCCATGACCTAATTAACAGCGAGATACGTTTAGCAATGAATCTGTCCATTGATTCAACAATGAATTACGCATTCAACGATATCTGGTTCTTCAGATCAGATCACTCCGAAAAACAGGGTCGTTATGTGACTCTGCGTAGAGTGGCATCTAGAGAGTGATTTATGGAACTAGGTGCAAAAAAGAAACCAATGGAGGTTCTAAAGTCTTGGTCCTCCTTTATAAACTAACCGATAAATCATTATTGTTCCATTTCTACTAATCCTACTACTTTCGAGAGCGTTACCTCAGCTCTTTTTGAAGAGTTGGCACAGAAGAAAACTACTTGGAAAGCAATGACGAGTTCTTGTATAAATACATTTCTTTAAAAAGTCCTATCTACTTTATTAAAGCTATTGCTCTAATAGGTTCAGGATGGAATATCATCTAAAAATAAACAAAAATGTTAAATGAGAGAAGAAAGTTGAGATATTTTCCAGATCAACCAGCATTTAGGCATGGTAGTAATAGTCAATACATTGTTCGATTTTTAAGCCAAACAGCAGACTAGGATATTTATATTTACGGGAATTAGAGTTCACACATAATAGTTTCTTTTTCAAACGCTTTTGCTTTTTTCGTTAATCGCTTCAAAGAAAGCCGCTACAGACCAGAAATAAATTGTATTACTCATCAAATATAAAGAGGGTCAGAAATGCATATTTGGGAGCATATCGTACAGCACTAATATCGCGCAAGACTACGGAACATGGTAGTGGTTAGAGTAAGCGCGGGAATTGATCAAATGACATCAGTAAAAAATTCTAGAAAGCACGTCGAGCTTTTCTGTCGAGCAATAGAAGCAGTAAACTGATGAAATGAATGTCTTCAAGCCGAAAACTTGCAAAATTTTTCACGGAAACAAGAGAACTTACCTTTCCGAATGTCTTCGCCATCGTAGAACAACATAGAAAAAATGGATATAGGTATGCCGACCAATGCCAGCCGCACGTTTTGCACCCACACTGATGCTTTACTCTCCTTAAGCACTTTTTCCAAGTACACACCTGAATCAAGAAAATTGGTAATGGTGATGATAACCGAGATAGCGTGAGGTATTGTGTGGTTACCACTGTGATAAATTTCTCAGCACACTGGTTTTAACGTGCTACAAGCCGAAACATATCCAAAGAAAAAACAGCTGTTATTGAATAATCGAACCGGCGAATGCTGAAGTGAAGCACATCACAACGACGCTGAGAAAGCCGAGTAATGGCCTCTGTTCTATTGTTCCTTTTGTAATCGACGGCGCATATATCAGTTGAACATCTACTACACCTCAAATTAACTTTGGTATTAAAAAATTCTAATAATCAGCTCCTCAGTCTGATATTGAATATTACTGTATAAAATATCCGCAGGGATTCCCGTGATTTTTGGATTTCGGCGCGATAACACAGTATTCTTTGCATTACAAATTTTTGAAGAAAAATGCTTCGAGCTGAGAGAAATAATTCGATTTTCTGTTTTCGAGTCCTTATTGGTCAACAACATTGCTTGTGCGATTTTCTTAAAAAATCGTCATCTTTGTTAATTCTTAGCAGGTATTTTTAAATTTCAAAAAGTTAATTATTACTATAGTGCTGAGACATTTAAAAAACTCCGGACCGCAGGTGTCTGCGGTGGGGAATGAACGCGCTATTGTCCTTTCCGGTGAGTAACGCGTTCACCACCACACCATGCAAATCTTTCTCATATTTTTAAATTCGTTGCTTGCGCTGTGTAGGAAACAACGAATTATGAGCCGCATTACTTACCTATCACTAAGATCACCAGAGCGATCCATTGCTTTACTGAAAGCTTTTTGCCAAGGAAGAAGTACATTAATATCGCTGTGGAAAAGATTTTCATCTGATATGCCACCTGAATAGGCAATATTAAATGGCTGCCATTACAATGAATCATTACAGATTTGTCATCGTTTTTGTCCATGCAGCGTTCAGACGCTCTTAAATCTATCTGAGAATTTCATAGTTCAGCAAAACCTTCACTTCAAAACTTTTTAATATTAACTCTTGCTCCAGGCGTTTCGATTCTATCGCTTAGCTTTTTAACTTCGTCACCGTTTTTAATAATCATTTTTTTTTGATCTTACTACGGTTAAAAAATAAGCAACTACGTAGATTGAATACCGCATATGACTCATGTCAACGAACTTATACCTACTCAAGTAGCAGAGAGTAAAGCGAGATTAAACTACTAATGCATCGAGGAACATACAATGGGAACGAATATGATTTATAAATGCAACTAAAATAATGCTGAGACATTCTCAAAACTTAGACCCTGGGTCAGATCAAACCACGGCTAGGCTCGCATGCAAGATACTGTACCACTAAGGCTTTTGATTTGTTATCTTTCAACTAGATTTTGACCTAACGGCGCCATAGGCAATTACCCGTTAAGGGATTAATATGTGGAGCCCAAATCTAAAACACAAATAGAATCTGATGAAAGAAAAAGCAGGGACCTCAGTGGTGTAGTGTGTAACACGCGAGCCTCCCCCAAAGGTTAAACGTGTTTCGATCTTGCTCGGCGTATAAGTTTTGCGAATGTCTCAGGTTCATTGCGGTTACGTTTCACATAATACTCTACCGTAAACGTTCCTAAGTAACAAATAAAACGGTTAACATAAATTGCAAAATTTTCAAACGTTCAAACTATGAAGAGTCTAGCGAAAGAATTTATATTGATATTTATTTTTTAATATTATTCGGACTACTCATTCAAGGGTGAAAAGACAGTTCACATTGTTCACAATGTCCCTATCTCAAGGGGTTTCTACTTTTCCGAAGTGGAAGTAAATTGGATTGAATTCTGGTGATAGTCGTCTTGCTACCCACTGTTTGTTTACGAGTCATGAATAAGCTAAAACTGGATGCATTATATGCATTAACTTATCTACAACGTACACAGAAAGTAGTTGCTTCCAAATGTGTGAGAGCTATGTAGTAGAGGTTGTTCTGCAGCGTGTATATCACTGCTGGAAAACATACTTTGATGGTCTCGGTCGGATTGTTGCAAATGGCTTCTTTGACCTCACCAAAGTACCTTAAAATATGTTAACGTGTCCTGAGTTATTTAGTTTTAACCTTTTACATCAAGCTTCTCTGATAATAATTTTTTGCATCGTAGACAAAGGAAAAGTTCCTGACGTATTTGCTTGAGATCATAATCTATCACAAACCGTTCACTTGAATAAGTTTCACTCTAGATGAAGATCTTCACTAATGCGAACCACAATAGCATGTAGAAAAGTGTGCGAAGATTTTAGTAACACGCACGTCACTGGTACCTGTGATATTTGAACCCTCATAGTGACTAGAAAATGTCCGGTTTCACTGTATCACTGAATTTGCAAAGTACTGAAAACTAAGGTGTGACTCTCACGACCGACTTTCTATTAACCTCAGCATTGATTGAATAATTCTTTCCACTTCTGTTTAGCAAATACGAGGTGTTATTTTATTTCATTATTTACGTACAATCTGACGGTTCGGCGGATTTCGCCTTCCTTAGAGCCTGGAAAGGTCAAGTTGACAGCAATCTACCTCCGAAACCGAACACCTCCATAACCAAACAGAGAAAACGCTAAACCAAGATTTCAATTACATTGAACACAGAGTCTTTGCACACTCAGTCTTTCTATGAGTCTTCCACTAAATATGTCACGAGCGAAACCAGAATATGTCACGACGCACAGAGTTCACATGGTATTGTAATGTGTCCATCTCGTCAGAATAACAGGCTTATATACTGCCCAACATCACGCATGTTAGCCAGGCATTCCTCCCGGCGGTTCATTTTCAGATTCTTAAAATTAATCCAGAGTGCTTCGAGAGTTTTGCGCGCTTGTTTTCTCGATTCCTGAGCGAGGATCGTAACCCCTGCTTCAAAATCTTCTCCGTCACTAAGATGTGAGGTACAAAAAATGAACTATTAACAATTTATTTTCAACCTACTTGCATTAAGGAGCATGTTGCTGGAGACGCCACTGCGACACATGTGGAATCGATACCCGCGCCTTCGACCCATCAAGCCCTCCATCCCTCCGGAGTCGGCAAATTGGTACCAGACTTGTATGGGAGGAGAGCAGCACTGGCTCGATACATCCGCTAGGCCACCACGAGTCATTGTAAAGGCAAGATATGCATTCAATCACCTCCAACGATACTTAACGAAGTCAACTACATGACGTCAACCTCAGCGATTGATCAACTCCGAGAGCTCTATCTTTTTTATTCTGCTTGCACTGCTCGCAGAAGCCTTGCGCTACCATTGTTAAAAATCTAGATAAGGCTTTCAAGACAAGATAGTATCGCAAGCCAAGCAATGAAAAGATACTAGTTCACTGCCACTCCTCTCATCCTTCACACATGAAAAAGCACTCATCAAAATCATGTACCGAACGGCTGAAAATGTGTGCACAGTAGAAGAGGAAAAGAAGGAATCGCTAAATCTGGCACGAAAAATAGCCGTTTCCAATGGGTACGAAGCAGAAGCCAGTCAGGTCAGACAAAAAGGTAGAATTTTCCCCCAATTTTTATATTTTTAAATAGATTATATAGCAATCATAGACCTCTCACCTAATACCCTACGCCGTCAATTAGTCCGCAATCGTCTTTTTGATCGTTTGGACGGCTCAAAAAATTGTGTGATCTGTCCTAACAGGAGAGACGAGGATTGAATGAGTTCAGGTACAATATACTTTATCTTAGGTAAGTCATGCAGTTAGGAATACGTTAGGGAAACGGTAGGCCGCTTTATGTCCGTATAAAAGAACACCTAGATGGAAAAATCAAAATTCGTCAAAGGACTCCTCTAGATAAGCATAGGGCAAAAAAGCACAGTAGCGATGGTTTTTTGATGCGAATGTCCGGATCCTAACGCAGGAATCGAAAACATCAACCAGCAAGACTCCTAAGGTGTTTCGAATAAATTTCAAAAATCCAAAGATGAACTGGGAAGACGAATGCCTCACTATCACACTTGAACTGGCACCTTATTTCAAAATGATTTCCTGACCTGGGTGGGTCTCGCTCGCCATCTCCCGTGCACAACACGCGGGCAGTCCCACTGGTAACAGCACGGTGAGTAGTTTTCTCGATCAATATAGCGTTTGTTTAAAGGCTCGATCTTCGCTAATGCTATAGATATTTCGGCGAATATAAGGCCGTAGTTACAAAAAATACGTCCAGGCTCATGGAAGGTTAAATGGCCGAAACGTTAGCCAATAACGCCAACAACAACGATAACGGAAGGTTTTACCAAAGTCAGCTCAACAAGATCAGCTCGTAGGAATCTATAAATAAATATGAGGAAAATTTGGATAAGAGACAGTGTGCTCGTTCGGGCTTATCTGCTGATGGGTGGACATCTTTTTTGTGCACGAACATGAACCTCCCTGCTTTTCCTCATCAAAATAACTGAAATTATTTGTAACAAGAGGCGTATAAAAACTTGGATGCTTTCACTACGCTGGGAGCGTTTGCAAGCTCATAAGTGAAAACACATGTTGTTTCTCTATTTTTGCGCTACTGCGTGAGCTAACAATATCTCTCGGTGCCATCGCATGCTTACGTTAATGGAACCTCTATGAAACTGGCTAAAAAACTGAAAGGCACGTGTTACAGTGGTTCAGATTTTTTGGTTAAAATTTTCTTCTACATTTGCAATAATGGAGGCTAAAGCGGGAATGCAGATTAACTATGGATTTTCGCCACAGCCTTCACATTTCCAAATTGAGTTTGAAATGCACGTGAAATCCATTCTGCACTCATCGTTCTCAATAAAACCACAAGGGGGGTAGTCTGATTGTAATGCTCGCTATTTTCGCTTTTTTTTGAAAAGTGCATAGTGGCTCTATTCTGTTAGAGGCTGTGGATATGCAACCATTTAGATATAGATATTTGGATATTTACTAACTATTTACATTAGACCTATCTTATAAATTGAATGCATCATATCCATCTGTGGAATGCATCACCTTATATGGTACAATATTCTAGCAAACACATCTATATAAGCATCTACAGTTAGTTTAGAAGTGTAAATCATTCTGGAGTAGCACAAACAGATAGTGGATGCCCTGAATCCGCCTGCTCACACGGTCAAGTATGTGGGCATGTTCGTTCTCCTGCTGGCCGTCCATTTCCAAATATGGGACGGGCCACTTAGCCTACCAAATATTATCCCCCGAGGTCCACAAAGAAGAAGGAACTTCTAAAAATCAAGGATACGAAAGATATGAGCATTACAATTTAGACCCGGCCCTTATTCCATCTACGATACTGCTAAAAATGTCTAGCTATGGATTACATTCACAATGTTTACTTTTTATTATCTGCCTTCTATAATTTTCATGGCAGGGTATTAAGCGAAATACAACCACAATTTTGACTTGTTATTTATTGCTTACTCTTTTTAACGGCAAGACATATATTGCGAAATGTAACCTCAATGATACTGAGATATTTGCAAAGCTCCAGACCGCAGGTGTCTGCAGTGGAGAACGAACGCGCTATTGTCCTTTCTGGGGAGTAACGCGTTCACCACCACACCATGCGGGACGTTTGTTCCTCATCGCAGACACCTGCGGTTCGGAGTTTTGCAGATATCTCAGCAATATTGTGGTTATGGACTACATTATTAAAAAACGAAGAATAATAGGAAACAGTGCAATGTTAATTGATAATTATTGGCGAAAAGCATGGAAATTAAAAATGTGATAGAAGAACTAAATGAAAACTTTGAAAAATAAATGAAGAGTGAGATAGACCAGGGATTTTTTGTGGGGAACCGTCTTGAGCGTTTATTTCCTCTCTGCATTTATTTCGCACTACAAGGGATGA